CATCTAAAAGACATCCAAGTTACCCAGGAGCTTGCTCTTCCTGAGACCATCGTCTGTGCACTGTCTTTAAATATCACATTTCGATTCTTACTATGTTACAGAGCCCCTGATTATGACATCGAAAATGTAAACAAGCTAAATTCATTACTAACATGGGCAACCTCCTGCCCACATGCTTTTATCTTTCTTGGTGACTTCAATCTTCCTCGTATTAATTAAACCCTAAATGAATGTACAACTGAACCCATACATGCAACCTTCTACAATGCTATAACAAATCTGGGACTGGAACCAACAACACTAGACTTAACAACTGTCTCAATCTCATCTTCTGCAGCAGTTTAAATTCAATTTATGCAATACAAATAAAAGAACCCTTTTCCAAAAGTGACCACAGCATGATTGACTTTTGTCTGAACATACGTCCTCACAAAAATCATCATAATGACAGAATCTCCAATTATAACTTCGAAAAAGGCAACTATGATCTTATAAACAACGATCTCTCATCCCTTGATTGGCAATTTCTATTCTCTGGATGCAATACTGTAGAAGACCATTACAACATATTTTTACTTGAAGTCAAAAGAGTTATCAAACTATATGTACCAATAACAACTCCCAAAAAACCCCCCAAAACCCTTACCCATAAAACTTTACCCCATATGGGTAAAAAAAAATTACCCATAACAATAAGGAAGCTCCAATCCAAAAAGAAATCCCTTTTGCGGAAAAACAAATCTGGTCACGTTGCCAACTTTAAAAGCTGATACAAAAATGTATGTCACCAGATAAAGACTGAATGTACCAATTATCACATTAAGCAAGAGGAAAACCTTCTACGCACCAATTCCACCCACACTTTCTACAATTTTGTAAACAACAAACTAAAAGACTCAAGGTCCATCCCACCCCTGAAAGGACCTAATGGTAAAGACTGCAGTGATGACACCATTAAAGCCAACCTCTTTAACATATTCTTTGGCTCAGTCTTTGTAAACAGCAATGTCATGCCCAATATTTCCTAGTCAAACCACAGACAACTACAATGATCTAACACATATCGATTTTACAGAAGACAATGTTGAAAAAGCACTATGCAATCTAAAACTATCTCTATCTATTGGACCGGACTGAATATGTGCCTACTTCTTTAAAAAGCTCTCCACTGCCATAGCCGAACCTCTAAGCATAATCTTTGAAAAATCTTTCAGGACCAGCTCCTTGCCAAAACTATGATCACAAGCCACGGTCTTCAAAAAGGCAGACCCCAGCCTAGTTGAAAATTACAGACCAATCTCTTTATGTTGTATCACCTGTAAAATCATGGAATCAATTATTAACCAATCCATTATTCTCCACTTAGAGACAAACAACCTACTCTCTAATAAACAATTTAGTTTCAGAAAAAAAATATCCTGTAATCTGCAACTCCTACACTGCAAAAACATATGGACTACACAACTTGATCAGGGCAAAGCAATTGACGCTATTTACATAGACTTCTATAAAGCCTTTAATTCAGTGGTACACGGCAAAGTACTCTTAAAACTAAAATCTTATGGCATCTCTGGACACCTGCATAACTGGATAGAAGCATTCCTGTCAAACAGGCAACAAATGGTCAAAATAGGGAACACCCTATCAAATCCTGTACCTGTCAACAGTGGTGCTCCCCCAAGGCAGCGTTCTAGGACTAACTCTCTTTACACTTTACATAAATGACCTCTGTGATCATATTAAGAGCAACTGTGTTCTCTTCGCTGATGATGTAAACATCATTGACAATACTGCTACCCTTCAAAATGACCTCAACTATGTATCAGAATGATCAATCAAATGGCAACTTCAAATCTCAACAAATAAATGCTCTGTCTTACATATCGGAAAAAAAAATCCGAAAATAAAATACAAGCTGAATAATCAAGACCTTGTTGATGATCCCAACTATGTCAAGGACCTTGGAGTACTCATCTCTAATGATCTAAGTGCTAGAGCCCACGGTAACAACATAGCCAAAAAGGCATTAAAAGAGTTAATACCATCGAGAAAGTCCAGAAATATTTCACAAGAAGAGTTCTCCACTCCTCTACTCATCGCAGAATACCTTATGCCACCAGACTTGAAATTTTAGACCTAGACAACTTAGAACTATGCCGCCTTCAGTCCAATCTAAGTATAGTAAATAAAATTATCTACTGTAATGTCCTACCTGTCAATGAATGCTTCAGCTTCAATCACAACAATACAAGAGCACACAATAGATGCAAACTCAAGGTAAACCACACCAAACTTGATTGCAGGAAATACGACTTTAGCAACAGAGTGGTCAATGTCTAGAATACTCTATCTGACTCTGTGGTTTCTTCCCCAAACCCCAAAAACTTTAACCTTAGACTGTCTACTATTGACCTCACCCCTTTCCTAAGAGGTCTGTAGGGGGCATGCATAAGTGCACCAACTTGCCTGCTGTCCCTGATCTATTGTTTCTATTATATTCGTATCCATTTCATGTATTCATAACCATGCTTATACTTATACCTGCTACCTAATACTTGCTTGACAAATAAATAAAATAAATTAGACCTTCTGAACCTCTTAACTATCCTACTACACTACCTGTGGAACATTTCTCCACATCTTCTTCAATGTCATTTCCTCCGGTCCTCAGTTTCTGCTGTTACTATTGGGGGGTCAAAGAGCAGGGAAGATGATTCTCCCTACCAGAATTTCCCACTTTCCCCCAACAAGAGCACAGACTGTTTGCCTTCCTACTTATCTCCTTCACTGATTGATTTCACATATCATCAATGGAGCAACAATGGCATGAAGCAACAATGGCAGCAGTATGCAACAGATTAGCTAGCTGACCAGCCCTTTGCTATGTCATTGCTAACATGGATTAAAAGGCCAGGAATCGCAGGTCGAAAAAATATAAAATTGTTGAGAGTCGTAGAAATTACCACCAGTAATAGGCATCTTATAGGAATAGGAAGATTTTTTGGGGGAGGGGGGAATGTTGGCTACTAGATGAACTTCTGTTTTCTTCAACAATCAAAGAAGAAATGGCTATGGTGTCACAGAATTTTGCAGTGAGATGGAAAGAATTCTACTGTAGTGGTCCAATAGTAGCTCTATTAATGTTTCAGATTCCTCTCCATCCAGCATAGAATCTTTGCGTAAGTGAACTTGCTCCATTTTCTTCTAGAATCTTTTTCATCTGGTCATAAAACTGAGGGTAGTTCCAGTGTGACAACATATCTTCCATAAATAATAAGCAGTTGATAAAGCATGGAGGAGGATGTCTGGAGGCTTTGTTCTAAGACAGGGGTGACAAACACAAGGCCCACTAGCCAGATTCAGCCCATGATTTGGTTGGATCCAGCCCATGCGGCCATCCTGGAAACTATAAAGGGCCAGACTGCATCACTTTGGCCCAACCCATACCATCCTGGTATGCACATGTGCATACAGGAGGAGGCAGGCGCACACATGCACAGACCCGGCCTACCCTATCCCAGTAGGCATATGTGCACATAGGAGGAGGCAGGCACACGTGTGCACAGGCCTGGCCCACCCTATCCTTGCACGTGCACATGACACAGGAGGCATTGGGCCAGGGTTGCCTTGGCCTATCCCATCCTTGTGTAGATGCCACCAGGTTAAAGATAAGTGCTGCACCCACACCAGTGTCTCCGCCCTTTCAGGTTTGTGTGTGGAGAGGTGCCCAGCAGCAAGGGCTCCATAGCTGGCACTCCAAGAAGCAGGTATAGTGGTGGCAGCACCGGCAGCAGGTCGAGTCAGGGGGAGACACATGATGCGGACCACCAGACACACCTGCTCCATTCCATGTGGCTGGAATGAGCTAGGTGGCTGCCTGGAGCATCCAACAGGCCAGACTGCATGCCTCGCCCCTGCACCTCTGCTTGTGGCTACTGCCACCATTGTGAACCAAGGTGAGGCAGAGGGTGGGGCAGCTGTTGCCAGACACCATCAGCCCGCGTACTGTTTTTGCTTGCGGTTAGAGAGCAAGATCCTGCTGGTCATCTCCTCAGCCATCTTGGCCCCCTCGCGGGCCTTGTCCTTGGCCCACATGTGGAGAACGTTTCCCTTGCATATCTGACATACCTCTGCACAGCTGTAGGGTGCTGCCACCACCAAGGCCACCAGCAGCTCACACAGGTCAGTTAGACCCCTGCCAGCACTGCCTGGAGCACCAGGCCTTTCCAGCCCAAAGGAGGTAAAGCGGAGATCTAGAAAGGCCAAGTAGAGGTAGTAGAGCATACCCAGGCCCAGCAGGTAAAAGACAGCCACTGTGAGTGGGGAAGGCCAGATCTCCCTTGCTGCCATGGCTGCACAAGCCCAACTGGGATCGCATGCCTCCCCCCATCTCTGCAGGCCCTGGATGGCCATGGCACTGATAGGGGATATGGCTTTTCCCATTCATAGTGGCTATCTTTTGCTTGCTGGGCCTGAGCATGCTCTACCACATTTGTTTGGCTTTTTAGCTTGCCACTTCATCTCATTGGGGTTGGATGGGTCTGTTGAGTGGTGATAGCGGCAGCCCACAGTGAGGCCAAGGTGCATCGGGTGCACAAGGGGAAAAGACTCCATGTGTAGGCCAAGGGGAAGACCCACAAGGGAGCTGAGAAGAAGATGATCATCGGCAACCTGCTCTCCACCCACAAACCAAAACAGACAGTGGGATGGAATAAGCATATCCAGCAGTCCACATCACATGTCTGCCCCCACCTCTGCCTGCTGCTTGGACAGCCAGCCCAGTGGTAGCAGTGGGCTCTGTGTACCAGAAATCATTGCCCCCTCCCCCCGTGTACAAAGGGCAGTGAACTTGTGGTCTGAAGGTTTCTGGCTGCAGCTGCCCTGCCCCCTGTCTTGTCTTTCCTCATCCTTTCACAGGATGAGTTCACCACCCACTGCCCCACCCAACAGGATTCTGGATTCTCTCCCCAATCCCATCCAGCACCATAGGCACCACCTACATGAGTGACATCAAACTGCGGTGCCCGCAGGCCACACCTAGTCAGTTGCAATCACCCTGGTCATACGACTCCTCCCAGCCCCTGCAGGACAGCCACAATGCTGAACTGTCCCTTAATGAAATTGAGTTTGACACCCCTCTTCTAAGATCTAACTTTGCCAAACATTGCTTCTGTTGTTATTTTTACTGTTTATTGCACAGTCAGTCAGATATTTATACAGGATTTGGCATTTTCATTCAACATACCAAGTCCTTTCCAAGGACCTGGGATAGAAAGATGTGGATGCTTGATGGTGTTGAAGCTATTGTCTCAGGATGTTTTACTGTTCCAAGTAAAACTGCCTTTTGCAATTGACTGGTGGTGATTTTGTCAATGTTTGTGGTGTTTAAGTAGTGTTCCAGTTTTAGGATTGCACCCAAATATGCCAATTATTATTAGTACTATCTTTGTTTTCTTTTTCCATAGTTGTTCTATTTCTATTTATAGATTTAGTGTTTTATTACCTTCTCCAATTGTTTCTCTTCTCTTCTGCTGCCTCTAGGTACTGCCATGTCCACTATTCAGACTTTTTGTCTTTCTTATTGAAAATCTATGGAGTTATGTGGCAACTGCTTATCTGGTTGAATTCTAACGTTTCAGAACAACATCGTTTTCTATTACTTTGTCTAATTTATGGTTCCACAAGTTCTTGCTTGCAGGCAGGTGTTTTTCTTGTAGATATTCCAATGCAACATTGTTGCTACCTTGTCATGCTGTCATAGCAGTTGGATTGTAATTATCATGGTGCATAATATTTTTCATTGTTTATGGAAAGAACTTGTTCTGTCTTATCTTTCAAATGTACCAATGTTTTGTTTTTTTCTCCTCAGCCTGTGGCAATAAAGTTGACCCTGTGTATGAAACACTTCGCTTTGGAACTTCACTGGCCCAGAAAACCAAGAAAGGCAGTATTGGAAGTAGCTCGGACTCTCCCAAAAGAAATTCTGTAATTATATCATTTCTTTCTCTCTTCTTTAAAAACTTTCCTAATAGTATCTGGCCTTTTTTATGTCCTTTCCTCAATTTTATAATCAACATTTATATTTTTATATATTGGAAAGGAAAGAACAGTAGATCAAAGAGAAGGCTAAGAATATAAATATTAGGGATAAAGATAGAAGAAATAGTAATGAAAAATAATTAAAAGTATTGAAAATTTTGAACTAAAGGATTGTGCAAAGGCTTTATAGAAATATGGGGAAAATTGAAGAAGAAAAAGAGTTAAAAGAAAATGGTTACTGAAATATACAAGACAGCAAGTAAAACAAAAACAGACAACTCATTTAAAATTAAAGTTTAAAATCCTGAGCTCTCTGGGTGTCAAGCCTGAAGTTGACCTGGCTGCAGCTGTTTTTTTTTCTGTGAATTTTTTTCCCCTATCAGGGTTACTTTTCACATGGCTTCAGACTGACACAGCCTGTAGCTGAAGTGGGGGTAGAGATAGATGGGGTTTTATAGCCAAAACAAAATAGTTTTCTGATGAGTCAGAGACATTCCAATGGCTAGCTGGTTGGCCAAAGGAGGAGGAGAGATGTAACCAGGCAGCAAGCCAGTATTCAGACTGGACAACGTGATTTATTGTTTTAAGAAAACAGGAAACTTTTACTTTTTAATGTGGTGGGAAGTATGGGAACATTCAGAGCTGGCTTTCTACCAGTATGTGCCAAGATGATATCTCCTAATAAATCTGTCCTTAGAGAAACCAACTTGCCTCCAAGTTCTGTTTGCAATGGGTGTATTACTTGGAGCCCTGACACTGGGACTGACAGAGTGAAAAAAAATCTACAAAAATGCCCAAACTATAGACTTTTCTGAAGCAAGTTCCTTCCTATCCAGAGCCAACTCTATTTGGCCAAATCTATCTAGACTAAGCAAACAAAAATATTTCGGTGAAAAAATGGGATACCTTGTTTACAATTACAATTTCAGGAGGAAAGCAATTACAAGGTTAGGTTATTTAGGTATTTATTCTGATTGTGATAATGAGAATCTGTATTATGCAATAATAACTTCAGTTTAATTTTTGTAATGTAATCCTGCATACTATATTGGGTTTCTTTAGGACTCTTAACAATTTTTTTGCATAACGGAAGATTTACAGCAGTTAAGAGTAAAACTGGAGTAATTCTTTGAGCTTTGCTTTCCAAATATATCATACTTCTCAATTTCTTTTAGAAAAATCAAAGTATCATTGCCAAATACTGAAAAAAAAATAGCTCAATGTGAGGTTATGCAACCTAACATTCTATAGATGCCACAAACTCTCATCTTCTTTGTTCTCATCTAATTATAATATAGATGCTGAAATCCACAGCATGGCTTTGCACCTAATCTGATAACATAAGTCATAAAAGGAGGAGGAGGGGAAGGAGGAGTTATATAGTACACAATTTGCATCCAGAAACCATCAATTTCCTGCATCTCTAATTGGATAAGATTCCTGTTTTATGCATTAGTAGTAAGAGAACAGTAGTAAGATGTAGTCTTACATCTCGCATGCAATATCTGCTCTCCTATAATTACCATTATTAAAGCTGTTCCAAAGAAGTAATCCTCAAGTGATCTCTTGAGAGCTTATATCCCTATTAAAATGTGTATTTCCTGTGCTGATGTTTGAATGTGTTATAAAATTATAAAATTCAAATATGGGCTATGCATTCATCTCTGAATGTATCTCTGAATTGTTAAGAACTTTTCAGTTACAGTATACGTTCTGCCATTGTTGAATGCATTGGGATAGCTAATAAGCAAATATCTCTGAAATAATAACCTAAAAGGTCATAGTTTGTCTAGTGATCTATCAAACCCTATCATTGTCATATTTAAAAAAAACAGAAGAAATTTTTTTCCTAATGTTTTTCTCCTTTCCTTTGATTTCTGCAATTCATTCAGTGATCAGATTTTCCTAAGTGTATTTCATGCCAAATGAGTACACTATTCTCTTAAATAATAAATGATTACTCAAGCACAAAAATATTGAACATGTCAGCTTGCCTTGAAATTTTGATCAGATGGAGAGTGGGTATAAGTTTCTAATGCCAAGACATTGTGGGATTTACCTCTTGTCAAATCAGACTGTGAAATACCAGATGACACATGAAATGTGTAGTTTTTAGTACTACAGTCATTTTGAAAAACACACAAACACACACTCACATACTCATGAACTTCAGTTTATTCAAACTTAGAATTTAGTATATTTAGTATGTTATTTTTCCACATAGTTTCAGGTTGTTTATGGCAGTAATATTTTTTCATTCTTCTTCTTCCTTTCTCCACACAATAATGTTGTGCAATAGTTAAAATTAAAAAATAATTGGTGATCCAATTGCACCCACTATGGTTCATCAATAATATTTATTTGTTGGTTGGTTGGTTGGTTGGTTGGTTGGTTGGTTGGTTGGTTTATTGAATTTATATTGCCATGGCGACTCAAGGCGGCTTACAGGACGTTATTATTTTTATAAAAAAATTTCCAAGTGGGAATTGGAGGGAGGGAGGGAGGGAGGGACAAAGGAAGATTTGTGATACTCTTTGCTAGTTTCCCACAAAAAAACTTGCTGGGGATGCCAGCAAGAAGTCAGAAGTCTCTCTCATTCCCACTGCTTGTCATTCTGTAGTTCTACTCAACTGGTAGTCATTATGTTTCTCTGTTTAGGCAACAAACATCTCTGAAAGGATGACCCAGCAAGTTGTCTACTCATTCATCAAATCTAGTAGTCCTGCTATAGATACTTCGAAACCTCCTCTCAGAGGGGAGCAACAAAAGCAGACTGTAAAGAGGGTGTATGGGATCTCTAACAATGCTTTGAGTTCTAAGTGCATAGCACTTATAAGTAGTATCCTGAATAATGGGAAGCAAGCTGCCTATAATCTTCTCCCTGTCCTTATCACTCTCTGCATGGATCTCCTACTGTGTCTCCCCCCAGATGAGATCCGCTTATATTTTTTCATAGCCATTTGTTTAAAAAAAACTCTCAGAGGAAAGTCAGGCGTTATGAAATAAAATCTGGAATGGGTAAGAACCATATTGTGCAAATGAAGAAATGGATCGTGTTATTTCATAGTCAATTGCATTCATACTTACTTGGAGCAGAATAGACTAAATTCTTTATTAAGCTACTTGATCCCAAATAGGGATTTAGTAAATATGATACAAATATAATGGTGTCTGTATCCATCATCAGGATTCAGTACAGCAACCAAAAGCATATTGAATTCTAACCAGGGGTGGCTTCACATTTTTTTAGCATGACTGCGTGGGTGGGCATGGCCAATTCAATGCCACTCCCACCCAGTCACATGACCCCTCCAGCCATGACTACCCAGGATTTTTTTGTTCCTGGTGTTTTCTGTGGGAAATGGGTCACCCTCTTTCTCTCTGTCCCCCTCCCTCCCTCCCTCCTTCTCATTTCTGTTTTTCTTTCTTTTTCCACCCCCTCTCCCTCTCTTCTTTCTTTTTCTTTCTTCCTTTCTTTTCCCCTTCTCTCTCATTTATTTCCTCCTCTCTCATTCTCTCCTTCCAGCTTTCTCATTTCTCTCCCCATCCCCTTCTCTCTCTCATTTGTTTCTTTTTCCTCTTTCTCATTCTCTGCCTCCAACATTTTCCCATTTTTCTTTCTTTTTTCTTTTTTCTCTTTCATTTCTCTCTTTCTCTGCCTCTTTGTTTTTTCTTTTTGTTCTCCCTCTTTCTTTCTCTTCCTTCTCTCATTTGTTTTCCTCTCTTTTCCCCCTCTCATTCTCTCCCCTCAGCTCTCATTTCTGTGTCCCTCTCCCCCTTCTCTCTCTCTCTCTCCCCCTTCTCTCTCTCTCTCTCTCATTTGTTTCTCACTTTCCTCTCTTTCATTGTCTCTCTCCATCATTTTTTTCATTTCTCTCTCTTGTCTGAGCTAACACGAAGGGGACTGTGGCTAGCGCTGAACTGCCAGCAAAGTACGTGGAATCACAAAAAGCTGCCAGTCATGGGCACCTTCGTGTCAGCTCAGGAAGAAGGAGCAGCTGCTACTTCTGCCAAATGCAATGAAGGAAGAGCTCTGGCTCTCCTGCGCAGTGCGGCCAGCGACTGACATGAGTGCACAGTGGCGGCAATGGGAGGAGGAATCATTGTTGCCGCCACTGTGATCCCAGCCCAGGAGGGTATCCTCTGTGTGTGTGTGTGTGCGCGCGCGTGCATGCATGCATGAAAGAGAGAGAGATGAGAGAGAAAAGGGGAGAATTCCCTTTTCTCTCTCTCATCTTTCTCCCCTCCCCTTTGTGCGGCAGGAAGCGAAGGCTGCCTTACACACAAACATGGCACCAAGGTAGATGCAGGGCTGCTTCACTCCTGCACTAAGCCTCCAGTGACCGTGGCGGGGCCAGCCAGGAGTGGCATTTGGGGGCTCACTGAACCCCCAGATTCTTAGCTAGGGGATCGCTTGAGCCCCTGCAAGCCCCCAGCAGCCCACCCCTGATTCTAACAGTGCATCTTTTCACTTTCAGTTAAGTAATTGTAGAAACATCAGCATTGCATACAAGGAAATACAATGTCTTCCTCTTGTTTGAATAGCTATGCTTATTAGGGAATTATATGAGTTGACCCTTAGTATGTTGAGTGTATAGTATATTTGGGAAGGCTGATCTAACCTACTTCACATGGAAGCTCTAAAAAAACTTAGCCTTTTTCTTTTCTGGTCTAAATAAGAAAATATGTTTGCTCTCCATTTAACATCTAGGAAACCAAATTATCCTCCATATTGCTTCCATTGAGGATTTAAATTGCCTCTGGATAATATAGAAAAGCAGCACTGAAGCTCCATTCTAATTCCCATATTCTCACTACCATCATCAACCTGTTTGCAATGTTTGATCTCAGTTTTCTTCACCTTGTTACTAATTTTCACTATGTTGCCTTTTTGTCTATTACAGACATCAGATTTGGCAGAAGTTCCAGAAGAAAGAGGCAGCCTTGGAAATATGTTTGACCTAAATAGGCAGCGCAGCAATAGCGGTGAGTGCAAGCTATCATATAGCTAAAACACAGATTATCTCAGAGTCTTGAAATAGAAATCCTATTCTGGGATTAATGTCAGAAGCTGCAAACAGATATTGGGGAGGCAGCTACTATTTGCTCCCTACTACTTCCCACAGTTTTTAATAAGTATGTTGTGTTTCTTGGTACGCTGCCAGCAAATCATAAAAATTTCACAGCATATTTAACATTTAAGTTTTCCATATTTAAAAAGATCTGTGAGAAATGCACAATTTTACATAGTGCAGGAAGGATGTTGATGGAGTTATCTGTGTTTCCCAACAAACCTCACCAGAATAGGAACAGTATGATCATTACTTGATCTAGTCAGAAGATCAGCATAAAAAAAAAAATTCCAAAACTCCTCCAAAACATTCCTCTTGGCAGTTAGAAAATTTCTCATGCTGCCTGAAAAACTATTATAACAACACACCTTTTGTGTTGTGCTCCCAAGGATTCTGATACAGAGCACAAAAACATTAATTAAGGATATCAAGTGTATTGAAGGGTACATGTGAAGATACTTGGCCAGTTAGCAATACAGCCAGGAAATGGGACTCTTAACACATTCAGCACATAGGCATGGGACATAGCCACTTTTTCAGGATCTTATGAAAGACTAACAAGGTTGAGGCCAGATTAATCTCTGAAGGGAGGATGTTCCATAGAGTAGGACTCCTGTGAAAAAGCTCATCTTTTGATACGTGTCAGCTGTCACTCTGGCTGCATGCTCATTCTACTTGATCTGGTTTATTTATTTGTTTGTCAAGCATGTATTAGGTAACAAATATAAGCATAAACATAATTATTAATACATGAAATGGATGAAAATAAAAGGGAACATTAGGCATGTTGGGAACATTAGGATGGTAGGCATGTTGGTGCGCTTATGCATGCCTCTTACAGACCTTTTAGGAATGGTGTGAGGTCAATAGTAGACAATCTAAGGTTAAAGTTTTGGGGGTTTGGGGAAGAAACCACAAACAGATAGTGTACTCCAGGCATTGGCCACTCTGTTGCTGAAGTCGTATTTCCTGCAATCAAGTTGGTATGATTTACCTTGAGTTTGTATCTATTGTGTGCTCGTGTATTGTTGTGGTTGAAGCTGAAGTAGGCATTGATGGGTAGGACATTGCAATGGATAATTTTATGTACTACATTTAGGTCAGACAAAAGATGGCATAGTTTTAAGTTGTCTAAGCCTAAAATGTGGTGGCATAAGGTATTCTGTTGCAAGTAGAAGAATGGAGGACTGTTCTTGTGAAATATCTCTGGACTCTCTCGATTGTATTAATGTCCGATATGCAATGCGGATTCCAGACAGATGAGCTGTATTCAAGAATTGATCTAGCAAATGTTTTGTATGCTCTAGTTAGTATACAATATCACCAGAGAAAAAACTATGCAGGATTAGGTTAACAACTCTTAATGCCTTTTTAGCTATGTTGCTACAGTGGGCTCTGGCACTTAGATAATTAGAGGTGAGTACTCCAAGGTCCTTGAATGTCGTTGGTTGGACAGGTTGCCTTGGAAAAAGGCAGTCTCTCAATTACCATGGTCCCAAACAATGAAGGGTTTTAAAGGTAACTAGCAGCACCTTGAATTGCACCAAGAATACAGCAATAACCAATGCAGCTCATGCAGGGGGTGGTGTTATGTGTACCATTTATCATTACTAGATAGTATCATTGCTATCTATACAGCCACATTCCACACCATCTGAAATTTCTGAATGGTCTTCAAAGATAGCCTCATGTACAACATGTTACAGTACTCTAACCTAGAGGTTACAAGGCAGGGCTTCTCAGTCCAGGTATCGGTGCAATTGACACATGACCCAAAGATGTGCAAAGACTCTCCTAGCTACAGCTCCCAGCTGCTTTTTGAATGGGAGCCACAAGTCCAAGAGAACCCCCAGATAGTGCACTAGGTCTGTCTGGAGCAGTGAAATTCCATCCAGGACCAAAGATGAAAGAGCCTTGTCTCCAGGGGGCCCAAATTCCCACATCAATTCCATCTTGCTAAGATTGAGCATCCATCCAGTCCCAGACACTGGGATCAGTATCAGTCAAATGGTCTAGTGTGGAGATACAAACCTGGGAGGCATCTGTGTACTGATTGTATCACACCCCAAACTGACAAATCACCTCACCCAGAAGCCTCATGTTAAATAGAAGGGGAGAAAGAATTGAACCCTGAGATACCCCATAAAGTAGAGGAGTCTCTACTTCTATCAACACTGACTGTTTCCAGAGAAAGGAAGAGAGCACAATGCAGTATCATCCACCCCCAATTTTCAGAATAAACCCAGAATTAGAGATGGGCGGCACTGTATTGTGTTGGCTCTCCTCCTTTCTCCAGAGCCAGTTGCAGTCAGTATTGATGAGAGGGAGGGAGTGCCAGTTTGTGGCCCTCCTTTGTTGCCATGCAAGGTGTGATAGATTATTAAAAATCAAGTACATACATTTTATAAGGCAGTTTTTAGGCTTTGTCCTATGCTAATATGGAATATGGCATTGTTGCCAAGGACCAAGCTTTTATAGAACTTAAGGAAGAGATAGAATGATCCCCATGAGATAGAGTTATCCACCTCAGATTCCCAGGAAAGTACCATTGTCTGGTGACAATTGATACTTGGTAACAATTGATATTCATGTGAGCATTATCAGTTCCAGAAAAACAGTTAAATTTCTAAAAACAGAATTGTTGAATATTGATGGTAATTAATATATTAGAAGTCATATGTCAGAAAGAAAAGTGAGAAATATACATAACAGAACAAAATATTTGAATATAAAATCTTTGTACTTTCTTTACATTTTTCCCTTACATTTCCCTTCAGTTAAAGAATAAGTGGGACTATTTAAAAAGTGAAGTTTTTAATACCAATAATGGAATTAATGATCGTGGCTTTCAACTCTAACTTTAAAAATATTCACAGATGGAAATAGAAGTATAGGACATTGGTGGTTTAACCCTTAGGAAAGGCATCATAGTAGGAGTGAAAGTTATAAATCCTTGCAAGCAAAGACAAAATGAAGTGAAAACATAGTAGTAGTACAATTGGTGATGTTCTTAGGCAGGTAAGCCTAAAATCCTAAAATATATTTTTCTCTCTGATTACAGTATTTACATATTCAATAAACGATATGTCAGATTTTGGAGAAGAACCAAAGAACATTAACTCGGCACTACAGGTGACTTTTTGAATATAATATAATTTGCAGAATAAGCTTCCTGCTCCCCAAATATCCTTTTTTTTAAATAAAACTTGGAATTTAGAATAGATAAAAATAGAATAGAAAAAAATGGATAGAAAAAAAGCTGAATTGAAAAAAATTGAATAAGAAAAATAGAATAGAATAGAAACTTGTCACTTTAAAAGTACACTAATCAGGTACCTCCAGTTGAACTTCCTCAAAGCAGACCTTTGCCACGATCATCTGTGGCTTTGGTCCAAGCTTCTTCGTCGGAGAGTCCCGATCGTCCAGATTTGGGGCAGAAGTCACCTCGTAGGGGTGGTGGAAGAAAGGGGAGACCGCCGGCCAGGTAGAGGAGAGCAGTTGATCCCCTCCCTGGCTTGGCAAACACTCCCTCCCAAAGACATCTGAAGCCATGGTCTAATATGGCCACCCTGAAAGGGAAAAGACTGCTGGAATAAGTTTGTGCAGGAGGAGAGATGAAAAAGAGGACAGCATAGAAACCAGGAGAATATTGATATAAGGTACGCTGGTTTTGAAATCTTTTTAAATCGTTATGAAAGTGGATTTAAGTGGCAGACAAAGAAATTAAGAAAAAATTCTGACAGATGAAGTGGCTTTATACTGAAAAGAAAGAAGCCGGAAGAAAAAACTTGTCTTTGAAATAATTAAATATACAACCCTGACACCAAACAGGTTTATTAAAGCTCGACTGGGCTGTGTCAAGGTGGAAAATAAAATTTGAAAATTAATGTTTGGATTTACTGATACCGGAACTTTAAAATCTTTGAACGAGTGAAGGAGGGGAAAAAGGAGAAGAATTGACTTCAAAAACAGCAAAGAGTGCCATCTAATGGAGAAGGGAATTGTTTATAAATATCACTTTCTATTTTAAAACTTTGATCCATTAGATTTACGCTGGAAAATCTTTATAAACATTGTTTAAAGATGGCAGGAATATTATTGGACCTTAAACTGGAACTTAAAAATATGAAAGACATGCTAAAAAAAGAAGGTAAATCATTTGGTTTTGCATTGCAATTTTTGGAAATGGAGGTTTCAAAATACCAAGAACAACATCAAGAAGAGGAATCAATGCAAGAAGTAGCCATCTTAAATGAACACTTGAACCAATGGAAACTTAAGCAAAGGAGAAATAGAAATAGAATTAATAATAGGAGGTTCAACATCATAATTAAAAAGGGGTTTATTCTAAAAACTAAACAAAAGAAAAGGAAACAGCAGGAAAGGAAACTTCAGGGGGGAGAAATGGAAAAGAAGGGAGATAGAAATTGGAGTAATAAAAAAAGGCAAGAATGAAACAGGATTTGGAAAGAAAGGAATAATGGCAAGCACATAACAATGAAATGAAATTATTTAATCAAAAGGCACAGAGATAATGGCTGATTGAAAATTATAAAGAAGAGGGTTCTGCAAGAGTATAAGGACTAGTTTAAACAAATAAATGATAATATTGTTTAGAAAATAAAGAAATATAGATTATTAAAAGGGGAGATAGGGACTGATATTGTTTTGTTACCACTGTGATTGCTTGCTTTTTTTCTATTTATGAGATGATATTAAGAATTAATAAGCAACAACATAAGAAATGATAAACAGTGGAATATAGAGTACTAAGATGGGAGATGGGGATTGATATTGTTTTGCTATTGTAGTGATTGTTTGCTTCTTGTCCCTTTATATTGTGAAATTAAGAGAGGTAATTAGAATAAAGATATCAATAATACTAAGTGAATTAATAAGTTGTGGCAAACAGAATAGGAGTAAAGTTAAAGGGGAAACAATATTAGTTCTTATGAAATGATGG